AATGTGATTTCTTTAAACTGAGATGTATTCAGCAGAAACAGAGCAACCTCGGGCAGAGTGAATTCCAAGTACATCAAGCATCCCGTGGAGATATTATACATAGATGCAATCTCTTGTTTGGACGAGCTGTTGGCGAGCTTGCTGAGGAGTGCCAAAATGGTTCGTGGCTTAGAGCTGTTTGTGTAGTTGTGATATTCGTAAACTGTTTTGTTCTCCAGCTCAGTCAGGTTAAAGGTCATCCTGCATTCTGAACTTAGAGTAATGTTTTCCGTTGCGTTTATTTCCATGTATCCAACGAAAAGCAGCAGACACCATAGGATACCCTTGGCAATGAAACCGCTTGTGTCTAGAGCTCTTCCCATCCTTTGACAATCCTCTAGCCTTTGAAAATAGGTATTTTAATTCAATATTTTAAGAAAATATTCGATTGAATTTTTGTAGAAACCTTAATAGATGCTCATTTTATGAGATTTCTCAATTTTTTAACTTAACGCAATATACCCTGCCGGGACACTGCTCAAAAAATGGAGTGTACTCGATCCAAGTGCCTAAAACCAAGAAATTTTTACAGAAAAAATCCCGATATCTAGAGCTACATACTGTGACGAGTAAAATTAACTTCCCTTCCTAATAAAAGGAAAGCATAACTTTTAATTTGGCGAGATACAGAATAGGAAAAGCTCTCATCATAAAAAATGAACGACGAACATAATTACGGAGATGAACAGATGAATAACCTTGAGAACCGACCAAACGTGAAAATAAAGCAGTCACGTTTCATTTACTCAAATGATTATTAAGAACAATTCACTTGTACCCTGGCGTCAGCACAGCAAACACGTAGAGACAATTTTCATGCCCTCAGGCGATGGAAACAATATTTTCTTTCGAGGTAATTCTAGATGTTTTTTCTCTTCAGACAATGCTGTAAGAGTGACTTTGCCAGCGAGAGAACAAGTGAGTCTAATCGCAAAGAATCATTTTTAATAGTTTAAGTTTTATAGCGACAGAAACGAGACGTTTGGTGCTACCAAAAACAAATTCAGTTATTACAGACATAGAACTCAACATACAGAAAAAGAGCTCTTCTTTCAGCATTGGAAAAATGTTAACCAAGGTTGGTGTTCCTGTTAATTAAGGTTCAAATAGATCTCTCCTTTTTAGATATGGCGCAAATCAGTTTTATAGGAGTTGTTTGCATCGACAGGGCAACATTTCTATTTCAAGGGGCCTAAAACCTTTCGTACCGAGATTTCAAAGCTAATTTTCCTTACCAATTCCTTACAACTCTTACGGGGTCAGTTCTGAGAAAATAATATTTATCAAACAAAAATCGCCTAACTATCTCTGATAAAGTGTATAAATATGACGAGAGGAATTACAAAAGTTTGAATATAAAGGAGAAGTTTTAATTGGACTGTTCTGTGGACAAGTCAAACGTGTTAGTATCTAAAATTATTTTAGACTAGATTAGTTTTACCTGTCTCCACAAGAAAAATGATATGTCTAATGATCCACACCAAAGAGTGACGGAATATGACAAAGCTGTACATGGGATCTTCGCCGCGTAGCTGAAACAAGCGCTCCAATTCCATGAAATGGTATTCCCGAATGATTTTCAAGTTGTCTGATGAGTAGATTAAACCATTAAGAGCAAAGAAGTAGCGAACATCAAGATGAAGAATTTCTATGATAAATCG